CTCGATTTGTGTATATATATATATATATATATATATATATATATATATATATATATATATATATATATATATATATATATATATATATATATATATATATACATACATATATATATATATATATATGCATATATATATATACGTGTGTGTTTGTATGTATGTATGTATACTTGTATGTATATATGCATATGTATATTTATAATACCTGGTTTAATGTACACCCCAGACGGCAATATGCACGGATTAAGCTTGTTGATAGAGCCAGAAACTAGATCGACAATGTTATGATAAGTTGAAGATACCGATGTGCAATAAAAAAAAAAATCCCGAGCATATCCGGTTGCAGACGCAAATTCAGATCACAATCCAGTGATAAGAAAATTTAGATTGTATCTCAAAAAGTTGATGAAAGCAAATATTGTCTCCAATTTTGAACTCAGACCAATCAAGAGGAACGAGAAAACTTTAAACAAGATTTTTTTTGGAAATTTACCAGAGGTTTATAACAAAGACTATCGTATTGATACTTTCATTGAGAATATCCAAGCAGCAGCTACTAAGGCAACAGCAGAAAAGAAGAAGCCCTCATCAAGTTGGTTCCACCCAAAGCTCAAAGACCTTCTACCAAAACCTGCTACGAAAGTTATAAACAGAAAATAGTGCAATATGAGCTAGTAAACAATCTTTACAAAGAAGAATGTAAGAAAAGCCAAGGAAAAGTGGCTGCAGGAGAAATGTGATGAGGTTAAGACTTTTAGTTGTAATCCCAAAGAGATATCATAAAGGATAAGAGAGATCATTGGTCAACGATCCTTTTCCTCCTCAAATCGCATCCAAGCAGCAGACGGCCGCATTCTCCACGAAACTGAGGATGTCAGTGCTCGTTGGGAAGAGTATGTTCAAGAAATTTTTGACGATGAGCAAGAGCCACCAAAAGATCAAGTCCTGGAAGCTGTCACATTTGGTCCACCAATTCTGAAGTCAGAAGTGTGCTGGTCCCTACAGCAAATGAAATCTGGAAAAACTGCAGGTCCTGACGGTGTATACATCGAAATGCTCAGGGTCTTGGGAGAGAAGGCATTGATCTCATCTGGAATTTCCCAAATGATATCTAGGAAACAGGCAAGTTATCTAACAAATTATGGAATCAGTATTCAGTGCCCTACCGAAGCCCCCAGAAACACTTGAGTGCTCACAATATCGCACAGAAGACAGCTCAATAGCAAGAAAGCAAAACGCTTGGTGGTTTCAAAGTCAGGGTCCCACCAACTTGTCAACTGAAACAAGGAGAAGTAGAAGTCCAACGTGTCTCCTCCTTAACTTATTTAGGAGCTCTTGTTACCTCAGATACTTGTTGCTAGAGGGAAATCAGACTAACAAATGATACATTCTCTAAAATCCGAAGCATCCTAACACACCGGAAGCTCTCAGTGAAAAAAAACAGACTTGTTAAAACACTTGTATGGTCGACTCTCCTACATGGTTGTGAGTCCTGGACACTGGCTGTTGAATCTCGGCGCAATATAAATGCAGCACAAAATGTGGTTCTACCACAGGATGTTGCGCACACCTTACACCGACCAAGTGTCTAACGAGATCCTCAGATGAGTCGGACAGGAACCTGAGCAGACAAGTAAGCCGTAAAGGCACATTAGAAGAATTTGTGTGTATGTATACACATACATACACACACACACACACACATACATATATATATATATATATGTATATATATATATATATATATATATATATATATATATATATATATATATATATATATATATAAATATATAGTCACACAGGGTCAACCTCTGGAATGTTACAGACAAGGCCTATAGTAATATATACCTTGGCTACGTGCTGCCACATACCTTGTAATTACATCGTAGAATGCTATACGAAGCTCCGACGATAGTGTTTCAAAAGACATTCCTCGGGGGCACGCTGGCTGAGAGCCGAGATTAAAGACCAAATGTGTGACGTCAGAGCAAGCTCAATTGACCTGCTCAGAGTAAATGATTCAGGCGCTTTTACTAACAAGCTTTGTGATAGTTACACACTAGATATATGTCTCTTTGTTTGTGTGTGTGTTTGTGTTTGTCTCTCTCTCTCCCTCCCTCTCCCTCTCCCTCTCCCTCTCTCCCTCTCTCTCTCTCTCTCTCTCTCTCTCTCTCTCTCTCTCTCTCTCTCTCTCTCTCTCTCTCTCTCTCTCTCTCTCTCTCTCTCCTCTCTCTCTCTCCCTCTCCTTCTCCCTCTCCCTCTCCTTCTCCTCTCCCTCTCCCTCTCCCTCTCCCTCTCCCTCTCTCTCTCTCTCTGTACAGTGCTGTGTGGCGCAGCGGTAGCGATCTCGTCTAGCAATCTTGCTGACCTGCGTTCAAATTCCTCGCCAGTGGATGGTAACCTCGCCCATTCCTTACAGACAGGGGGTAATTTAGAAACAGACAGACAGCCAAATGGAATCAACTAAATAAAAAAAAAATTCTCTCTCTCTCTCTCT